CTCCCCTAGATTTGACACAATCTTCCCAACTGTTCTTTTCCAAAGCTAGTGGTTTAACTAGAATACTTTCCCCCTCTTAGCCAAACACTAATGGTACTTCTAGTCCCTGTTGAAGTCAGTCTTCTTCCTCTCCCACCCTTCCTCCTCCTCCTCTTCCTTCTCTTCTTCTTCCTCCTCCTCCTCCTCTTCTTCTAATTCTTATTCTTATCCTTATTCTTCTTTTTTCAGTGCTGGGCTGTTAACCTCAGCCTTCATAAATGCTTCATGACTTCACCAAAGTTCTCTCCTGACTTCCCCTTTTTGTTCCTCTGATAATTTTTCTTTTCTTTTTTTTTTTTTTAAGATGGTCTCATTATATAGTTCAAGTTGACCTTGAACTAACTGTGTAGGCCAGGCTGGCCTCAAACTTGTGGCGATCCTCCTGTTTCAGCCTCTGGAGTTGGAGAATTATAGGCATAAGCCACCATGCCCGGCTTCCCTCTTCCACTTTTGAAGCTGTAGCTCTTTACTTGAAACACATATTGCCTTATTTTATGATTATATTTGCACTCAGAAGCCTCCAGAAAGAAGAGATTGTAACTTCATATATCACTATAGATAGACTGCTCTTGCTAAATGGCAGGCACTGTTCTAAGTGCTAGTACCAACATTCTCTTAAGTGTGGACTCACAGTTCCACTGCCCAGCGTACCTATTAGCAATGCAAACTTCTGCCTTAGTATTGGGGTGGGTAGACACACTCGTTTGAGAATCAATTCCTTGGCAAGAATTACTGTAGAAGGTTTTTTGTTCTGGTACCAGGGATTGAACTCAGGACCTTATGCTTGCCAGGCAGGCACTTATGGTGCTATCTCCGTGGCCCTTGGTTTAGTGTATTGGATTACTGAAAGGAGTTAGCTGTCTCTATCTCAGCTTAAAAGTGTCACAGCACCCAGTGAGGAACTATGGAGGGTCTGTAGTGCAACTGAGTTATAGCTACACGGCCTCTATCCACCATAGGCTGTGGACCCTGGGGACAAGTCAGAGGCTCAAGTCTTTGCCTCTCTTCCTCCTCCACCTATCTGTCTCCCAAAACCATGCCTGTTCCTTTGGTGATGACTTACTCTTTTTTTACCCTTAGAGATATTAAGAGTGCTCCTGGGAAGGGGTGTGTGTGTGTGTGTGTGTGTGTGTGTGTGTGTGTGTCCAGTACTAGAGATTGATCCTCTGCAGTGAGGCCATGTCCCCCCACCTCAAGACTATGGCAAAAGATTAGGGCCAGAAGTTTGCATTGCTAATAGGCAAGCAAGGCAGTGGAACCATGAGGCCACTTAAGAGAACGTTGGTACCAGCACTTAGAACCAAGATTTTTATTTTATTTTTTTAAATTTTTAAAATATTTTTGGTGGAACCAGGGATTGAACTCAGGCCCTTGTGCTTGCCAGGCAAACACTTATTCTACTGAGCCATCTCCCCAGCCCCAAGATTTTTATTTTTTAATTTCTAGAGATAAGGTCTTGATAAATCGACTGAGTTGCCCCACCTGGGCTTCAGTTTGCAATCTTCCTGCCTCAGCCTCCCTGCATGTTGGGATTATAAACACAGGCCAGAGGCCTCTATTAATATGGTTTAAATAATGGTAATCATTTGCTGAGCACTAACATTGCTCTCAGAAACTCAGTGAAGCAGGTGCTATCATTTTTTAAAAAAAATTTTACATATTTGGTACAAAGTTTCACTATGCAGTTCAGACTTGTAGTGATCCACCTGTTTTCAGCCTCGCCAGTGAGGGGATTACAGGCATCCACTGCCATGCCTGGTCTTGATGGCTGCCTTGGCACGCCTGGGGGCAGACCAGCACAGCATGTGGTGCTGGGGATTGAACCTGGGTCCTTGCACTTGCCTAAGCAGGTGTTTAGTCTGTTGAGCTGTCTCTGTGGCCCTCTTTTTTTTTTTTTTTTTTAATTTGGTACAGTGGATTGAATTTGGGACCTCGTGCTTAACAAGCAGGCACTTGTGCCCCTGAGCTATCTCCATAGGCGCTATGCACATTGTATAGATGAGGAAATTGGAGCTGAGTAAGATCAATGACAAAACTGAAGCCCAGCTAGAAAAATGTTGAGCCAAGATTTGAAACTACTAAGATTTGTTGGATATGATTAACTATTGCATCATACCATTTCCCTCAAGTTAAAAGGCAGACCAATATTTACAGGGCACCTACTGAACCCTTGGCATTGAGCCTAATCATTTAATAACACACCTGATTAGAGACTTTATGAACATATTTCCATTTCCTTGCCAAAAGAATGGTAACATTCACACAGCTGATCCCCTCCACAGGAGGAGTTCTAAACAAACAGATATTAACAAAAGATGCCACTTGGTATCCAGTCGAAGCATCCACTTAGCCAGGATCTTTAGCTGACATGTTTAGACATCTGCCCCTCCCCCTCCCAGGGCAAACAGTTATCAAGCATCTCCAGCTGGTTACCTTATCCTCAGAAAGGAACATCTGTTACCCACTCCTGTTACCTTCCAGATCAATAAAGGCATCCTCATCCCTCTCCTCTTTTAAAGTGAATATTCTGACCTCAGGAATAGTTTAGACAGAGTCAGCACATCTGAGGTGGTCTCACCTGTCTTCATTTCAACAAAATAACTGCCATTAAGGGCAGGACTTAAATGTGTGCCTCAGTCTCTTACAGTGGAACAGAGGCTGACCTCTCCTACGTTGAGGACAGCTTTTCTGCCACTCCTCACTGTCCACATGCTGAGCTGGGCGTGTCATCTCTGAGATGTGCTATTCAGCACAAACCTAATTTGTAGAAACTGTTCTCTGAAATCCAGGAATAAACTCTTGGGCTATTTTCAGACAAAGATAGAGGTAGGAGTCTGTAGAAATGAGCTAGTAAGGAGCTTAAAATACTTCACATTCCAGAAACACCCTCCCTCCCCCCCAGGACATGGCTTTATTCCTGTTTCTCAGCAGAGTGGCAATGGAAGGAGCTGTACTAGGCAGCTGGTGCCAGCTTTGTGGACTTGAACAAATGGCTTCCACATCTGGGCTTAGCTTGCTTATCTGTGAAACGGGGCAAAACACTCTGCTTTCCAGGTTACTGGAAGGTTGCTAGTTGTAAAACAACTAGCATTAGTGCCTGCACTGATGGCCCTCTACAGATGTACTGAATGCCTATGAATTATTTCAGTGTGTAATAAAGGGGGAAACATCTTACAGATTAGACTATTGACAAATGGTCTCAAAAGATAGAAGCCAGTCAGGGTGGCACATGCCTATAATCTTAGAACTCTTAAGATTCAGAGAGAAAAAAAAAAAAAAAAGATTCAGAGGTTGAGGGAGGTGGACTGCAGGTTTAAGCCCAGCCTGGGAACCTTAGTGGTTTAGTGAGATCCTATCTCAAAGTTAGAAAATAAACTAAATAAATAAGAAAGGACCAGGGATGTAGCTCAGTGTCAAGACCCAAGTTCAATCTCTATTACCAAAAAAAGGAGGATATGTTTAGAATGTAGCTTTATTCTAGATCACTTGCCTAACATGCCCAAGAGGTGCCCTGGGTTCTGTCCCCAGCATCCCAAGTGTTCATGCACACAGAGGAAGGCAGACAGAATGGAGGTTTTAAGGAAAGTGTTCTAGTAACCCAACTCTGTTATCGCTTATTAGGTTCTGGGCTTGTGACCTAAGGGCACTAAGGTGTACAGTGCAAAGTTTACCTAATGACAAGACAGAGCGTGGAATACCTACTTTACTATGTGATTGAGAGAGACCCTCTTTCTAGACAAAATTTCCATGTGGTGGTATATTGTGGTAAGAGTCACCTGGTAAATATAGCAAATTTAAGAGTAGTTTCTTGACCCTACACAGACTCCATAGCAGTTCAGACAGGCCATACCAACCCAGGTCCCAGCAGCAAGGCAGGATTAATAGGGGCCAACCGGGTTTTTCTGACCATGATGTTCACAGGCTTTCTAAACAGCAACTGTTTTCTTTTCACAGTCCCAGAAGGGGCCTCTGGAGCAAGAGTCTCTAACCCAGCACACAAATGACAACAGTGACTGGCTGGTCATGCAACATGTGCTATACTTCATCCCAGTAGGTGGCAGGCACAATGGTCCCAAAGAGAGTTTCAATAGGCAGCTTAAGTGATGGAATCCCGTGTGTACTCCCCTACACATGCTAACTCAGTCATTATGATGCACCAGTTAAGATTTTTTGAAGTAGAGTTTCAGATTTCCACGTACTTAATAGTTGTGTGACTTTGTGACTGTGGGTAGTTCTGTTTCATTTTCCTCCTCAGTAGCTGTAGCATACAAAGCCCTGGCATGTGAAGTGGGTTTTTCCTCTCCCACGAGGAAATCCTCACATTTTGCATTTCAAGTAAGTTTATAGGAACACTATGGGTAGAAAAGAGAACCTTAAATTTTCCTTCAGGGCTGGGAAGATAACTCAGTAGAGTAAGCACTTGCCTGGCAAGCGCAAGACACTGAGTTCAATTCCTTTCATTAATGGGGTGGGGGGAGAAAAGAAAAAAAAAAAAAACACATCCAAAATGCTCAGAGAATTTTAAAAAGGACATTCTGCAAAGCATTACCATAACACTACAATAAGAATGGCTCCATCCCAAAGAATATGAGGCTTCATAGTTTAAAAGCAATTCAGTCTACTACAAGGCTTAATATCTGCAAAAATCCTGTGAAAAAGTATCTGTCCCCATTTTACAGATAAAGGAACTAAGAGTCATAAGCAAAGCTAAAAGGCCACAGAAGTGGTCAAGCTGGGATTTCAAGCCTTCTAAAATACTCAGTACTCTTCACAAGAGAATTTCCTTTCCACTGAGTACTGAGCCTACATTGTTTAAACATGCCTGAAGTGGCATTTCAGGAACCCAGAGTGGAATGACCAGGTTCACAACATACAGCCTCTGGATCACTACGCTACCCCAAAATAGTTTTTCTTGGTTCAGGAGGACTCAGATGGCATAAGCTTCCCCACTGATATATTTGAGAAATCTTTTATTAGATGTCCCAGAAGGCAACAGTGTAAAATCAGGCAATCAGTAATCACAACTAAATACAAAATTTCAGGTAAACTTGCCCTTTAAAATAAATCAGACCCTTGCAACAGAATTGCCCAATTTTTTTTCCTTGTACAAAAACACCACCACTTTGCAAAAGGCATACAAAAATACAGTATAAAAAAAAAAAAAAAAAAAGATTCCTCCCAGCATAATACCCAGCAGCAGCTTATAAAACACAAGCTATTCAGGTGGGACATCAGTAACCTACTTCCCACCTGTCCTTCCAAGACAGTTCCAGAAGTCAGTTGGCTCCTGAAAACCCTGCTCCAGAAGGTAGAGTGTCTATACATCCCAAAGTTCCACGGGGGGTCTCTTAGGCTAGGAAGCCACCTCAGAAAGAGACCATCATGGACAGTAGGTCGAAAGCAGCACTTAGTTTTGCAGAGCTACGAAGAGTGTTTAGCATCCATATCTCCTCCTCCACTTCCACATTCAGAGCCATCAGGCACCTGCTGTCCTGGGCAGAGTTTTGGAGGGGCTGATCTTTCTTCCATGCCAACCTGGGGGTTGCTCACATGCCACCTATAGGGTTAGGTGGCTTTCCCATGTTTGAGGCTATGTCTCAATTCCACTTCGAGCTGCAAAATCCATCAGAGTTGGCTAAGCAGAGCTCCTCAAAGTGCCTTTGCAACCCATGGGGAAGCAAGTCCACCTTCTGGAGCCCTGGATGCATTCCAATGGCTCTCCCCAGAACCTCAGTAAGGCCTAGATTCTGGGAAAGGCATCTGACTCATGTCAAGCTGGCAGAGAACCAGGCTGGTGGCTACAGACTAGCACACTCCCTGGACAGGTTTGTATGGTTCCAATAGAACTTCAAACGGAATCAAGGACTGAGCTGAGAGGCAGGTGTGAAAGAGGAAGTAGTACAGTGCTTCCTTTTGAGGTGGCTTAGGCCTGTTTGTGAAGTCAGAGATGAATCCCAAATGGTCCTTGGAAAAACCTGGTCAAGGGAGCAAGTTCATGAGTCAGGACTCCAAGTTTTCTCCAGACCCCAGGCCAGAACCCATTTCCCTGTGCTCTGGGTAAATATTTCAGACCTGTGGATAAAGGGTGCTACAGAGCCCATTGCATAACAAAGGCAGAATCAAACAAACAAACAAACAAAAAATCCCTTTTGAGCACAGAAAGCTCTCTCCCTCAGAGAAGAGGGCCCAAGGGAGACTGAGACAAAGAATGTAGGGGCCAAGCTCTTTTAATGTTCTCAAAGTCACAGCATTGAGAGTAGAGGGAGGGGTATCACCTAACATCATTATATATATATATATATAAATATGGTTTGCAAACCATATATATATATATGGTTTGCACTCCTCATTTACTGTAAAGTGTCTGACAGTGAGGTAATGGTCCATGTTGATCAAGTCTACAAGCTTGTCTTCACCCAAGACAGCTAGAGTGTCTCCTGGAAAAAAGGCTCAGGGAGTGTCAGGCCCAGCTGTCCTTGCATCACCCCCAGAGACATCAGTGGGCGCATCCTTTCCTAGCCTAAAGCTGCAGCGGAGTGTGAGATTTCATGCAGGCTGGAGCCCCTGACAACGTCCACCACCTGTTGCATAGCATCTGTCAGCCTTTTTTTCAGAGCTAGCTAGATAGCTAGGCAGACCCCCAGGCTCCTCAGTCAGCTGCCTGCTGAGAAGCCAATGGTGCCAGAGGACACAGCACTCTGATGAGTCAGGGAAGAGGGAGAGCTGGGTTTCAAGGTTTCCAAGAATGCAAGCCCTTATTGTGTGTGCACTGGCTGCAATGCATTCTGGATCTACTGTTCAGACTGTCCCACCCTAACCAAAATGTGCAAATTACTAAAGGGGAAAGGGAGGTTAAAATATAAACGTGTCTTTGTAAGAGAAGAATCAGGCTTTTTGGTCAGTTAGTAGCCACTGAGGTACGCAATTCTTTTCTGCAGTTGCTACTGCCGACACCGGAGCTGCCTTTTCTCTGTAGCCATCCTCTTCTCAGCCCCCACCAGTGCTTGCAGGTATTCCAAGGCCTTGCTGAGGATCACTACTTTGGGGGCCTTAGAGCAGCTGGCCAAGGTGGGCACCTGGTCTCTCAGGGCCAAGAACCGTGAGCGGAGGTCATTTCGCCTTTTGCGCTCCAAGAAGTTATGGTTCTTCCTCTTGCTCACATCCTCAGTATCAGAACTGACAGGTTTGAGGTGGCAGGGCTGAGGTGCCTCACTTTCTACAAGTGGGGGGCTCACAATCTCTTCACCCTCCTCATCTTGCTTCTCCTTGGGTGCTTCTCTCTCCACAGTCTCTTCCTGGGGACCCCTGTCTGGACCTTCTTGGGGGCAACTTTCGGGAGGAAACCGGGCAGCATAGTTGTGCTGTTGTTAATGGATTGAGATATGGAAGTGCTTCATGCAGGGATCCAGTGGGTCTGCCCACACTGTGAAGGTGACTGGCTTCCATATACCCAGAGACTGCCTTTTCTCCACTGTTACAACATCGATCTCTTCACCCTCTATGCAAGAAGAGAAGAAATACATCCCATGAGAAACACACACAGACCTTGCAGCTTTAGCACTCCCTGCCAGGCCTTGGGAAGGTAAGGGACATTTTCCCAATTTAGATATCAGCAAACTCAAGTGAGAAGAAAGACAGCTGATTCATTTGTACTGGCAAAGGGCAGAGTGAAAGGAAGGAGGGGAAATAACCAAGAAGGAAAATATTCTCTAATTTCCTTTTGCACAGCAAGGCTTAGATAAGAACAAAAGGCGGACCTAAGCCAACAGCCCCCAGTCTGCACAGCCTCTCCCCTCCCCCACTGAGGGGATGGAGAGAAAGAGCTACCGGTCTGGGACAAAGTTTAGCTATAAAGATCTTCTCCAGTCGGGCTCTTTCATGCCCAATCAGAATTGTAAATGAGGGGTCTGTGGGCAGAGCTGCCCTTTGTTCCTGCCCAGCACAGCCTGCACTTGGGAATTGTTACTTTTCACAAGTTATAAATCCTATTATTCCCCCACCTCTCTATTCTGCCATCCTTTCAGTTGAAGATTCTGAGAAGGGAGGGCCACAATCATCCCTTCTCACCCACTGAAGGGAGGGAAGTTTCCCTGAGGAGTGTTTTGCTCCTGGGTTCAACGGGTTTCTAAAGTCATCCATCATTTATAGGTCACCCACCCCACCCCCTTCCCTGGACTAGAGAATTTGTAATCAGTGGTCTCCAAACGCTGCAGGAACTTCACAAAGGTACAAGCAACCATTTCCAAGCTACCTACATCAGAGACAGAGAATGAGAAGTACAATGACCCAGTTACAAGGGCCAAAATACAAGAGACCTGGAGAGACCAGAGGTATCCTCGGCATTCCTGGCTCAAAGGTCTGCTAGATTAACCCAACCAAGGGAGAAGCAACTGGGGGGGGGGACCCCTCTTGTTCACCATTATTTTGCAGCTCCCACACAGGAGGCCACCTTAATGCATTCTGGCCCAACAGAAGAGCTCCGTTCTCAGCCTCTTTTGCATATCAGGAAGCCTGAGTCCCTTTGTCAGGAAGGCTTCCATTGTGTGGACAATCGCATTATTTCTCCATTAATAAAACCTGACCATTCAGCCCTCCTGGCCCCAAAGCCTGTGATTGGCTGGGTAAGCTGTGTTTGGAATGCTATTTTACTCAGCCCTTAGCTGCTATTGGCTGAGATCTGCTGTCAATCAGACTCCCACCCCCCCACCTCATTGTTTGCAATCTGTTGCATTTTGTTCTAGACCATGTGGCCTGAGAGTGAACCAGGGGCCTACGAACAGGTTCAGGTTAAAGGGTAGGTCAAAAAATAATTCAGGCTTCCCTAAATCCTAGATTTTTTATTTTCTCTATTAAACCTCATGACTGGTAAGTTTCTAAGGAAGAAATAATTTAAAACACTATTCTCCATTTTCAGAGAGAGAGAGAGTATCAGACTCAAGCCAGATAAGGAAATGTCCTCAGCAGGACAATCAAGCTCAACCCTCTCATTTGCAAAGGAGGAAACTGGGGCCTAGATCAGCCAAGCCCAATTATCACCTTTGTAACATTCTTGAATCTCAGACCTTCAAACTTCCAAAGCAATGCTCTTTCTACCCTCTAACTCTACCAGTCTTTGTAGAAACACTTCTTTATTGGTTTCTTGATCTCAAGACTCCTATTCCAGGCACTAAATAAACACAGCTCTGGGTGTAAAGACAGCAGATAAAAAAGGACCTTTTACACAGTGGGTCCAACCATAAAGTAACTTAACTTATTTTTTTGATATCTTCATCTTTCCCTTAAGTGTACAACTTCCATACCCCAAATTACTGTTCCCTCCTTTTTTTCTTTCCTTTATTTATTTATATTTTTTGAGACAGTCTCACTATGTAGTTCAGGTTGGTCTTGTACTCTTAATGATGATTCTCCTGCCTCAGCCTGGCCCCAGTTCCCTTTGAATGCCCATGTAAGTTATTCTTTTTTTTTCCTTCCATGTAAGTTATTCTTAAAAACTTTAATGAGTTTTCTGTGTCCTGATTTGTGTGCCATTAGCTTTAGTCTGCATCCTTCAAGAGGAACCTTTTCAGTACTTCTCACAAGTCTAAGAGGTCTTCAAGGCTAGGGAAAGAATACCACAGTACCATTGGATGCACAGGCCGATTCTCATCTGCCCTGGTGTCTTTGCTCTTGCATCAAACATGGGGGAGTAGGGCCTGGCATTCTATGGCCATGAACCCAGTACCTGGCTCACAGGTTGGCACAAAGTGGGGACTGGATGACATTTGCAGAACACAAGATAACAAAACCAGAACATCTTTCAACCTTACGTGAAAGCAGCAAGTTGGCCTTTCTCAGACCATGAAGACCCTCAAACATCAAGGAAGAGAGACTTGGCTGGAATGGAGCACGGGGAAAAGCAGGCTAAATCGTAGGAAGCTTGGGCTCCCTTTTCCCCATGTCTAAGCCTCAGTTTTTCCATCTGTTAATGGGGAACATTTATTCCTCCCATAGCTATCCCTTGAGTGTTGCACAAGCGATAAAAAGTGGGAGCGGTAAGAGAGGTAAAGCAGGCAGGAAATCCAGATTTTTTTTTTTTTTTTTTAAAGGATAGAGGCTTTGGCTTTGCACAAAAGGCTCCTCTGCTTCTTTTTTCCCTAGGGGAGTGTGAGTTTCCCAGAGAAAAAGGCAGCAACAACAACAAAAAAACTTGAAGTGACTCTTAAGGGCCCCCTTGCAACCTTCCAAGCACAAAAATTCCCTACAGTCCAACCCAAGTATTGTTCTAAGTGCCAACCTTCACCCTGTCTCCCTGGTCCCCTGGGTCTCCAATCATCAGAGGACTCTGGCTCCCTCCCCACTTCTCCAAACTGTTTACCAACACACCCACGTGCCAGACAGACACCGCTGGGGGCTACACCCGCAGCTCCAGCCAGAAAAAGGGGAGGTGACAGAAAGACTGAAAAAAACAGTGCCAGACCTTAGACAGCGGTAGAGCTCGGGCCACCCATGAGGTCCCCCCCCCCAGATGTCCCGAGGTGGTTCTTACCCGAGTCGCTTGGGCTCTCCGACCCTGAGCAGGCCTGAGTCTTGGGCTCACTCAGCTGACAGGGGGTGGCAGGCGCCGGGTTACTGGCTTCGAGACTAGGAGTGCAGTCCCGAGCTGCAGGCGTCTTGGGCGGGTTTCCCCGGGGCGCGCCAGGGGCCAGCCGGTCGTTCACCGCTTTCTCCAGCCGTTCTCGGGCGGAGAAGCCGCTCCACATGCAATCACGACGAATGATGGAAGCGTAGTTCCTGCCCCAAGCTTTCGAGTGGCCCCGAGATTCCGCCTCATCCCCAACGCCCCCACCGGGCCATGGCTCCGGGGGACCAATCCCGGGTGCTGGGTCCCCGGCGCCAGGACAGGAGCCCCAGGGCGGCGACGTGGGGGGCGACGGCACCAGCTCGAATTTCTTCCAGATGTCCTCGCTGGGCGCCGTGGAGCGGTAGAAATCCTCCCCGCAGTCGTAGTCGTAGAAATAGTGCTGGTACGAATCGAAGTCCATGTCCGCTCCCTGTGGGAGGGAAGGGGGAAGTGCTAACTGGGCTGGGGACAGAGGGAAGAGGGATCCTGGGTCCCTGGGCACTGTCGGTTGCCGGGCTCTCGTTCCTCCTCAAGCTCACCGACTAGCAGCCTGCGCCTTGCCCTCGCGTCCCAGGAAGCCTGGCCGCGGGTCAGAGCTTCTAGAGAAGAGGCTCATGGAGCGCGGACCAGGCTGCAGGGAGCGAGTTCAAAGCAAACTTTGCCAGCGCCGCCTGGAGCGCAGCTCCCAGGGCCGGGTAGGGCCAGGCGGGGGCGCGCTGTGCCCAATAGGCGGCCTGCAGCTTGCAGGCTGCTCGCCCCCCGGGACCCGTGCCCGTGCCCGGGCCACCCGCAGTCTCACCTTGCTCCCGCCGCCCGCCACCTGGAGCGGACAGGCTCCCTGCCGGCTCGCGGCAGCCTGGCAGCCCGCACACACACACATGCGCGCCACCGAGCGCGCGGCCCGCACTCACGAGCGCGCTCCCCGCGCGCGCGGCCTGCGTCTCGCTCGCGCACAGCGGCCGGGACGCTCCCGAGATCGGCGCGGGAGCGCGAGCTGCAGGCGCATTGTTTCCCTGCTGCCTTATATCTAGACGTGCGCTCCGGGCTCTGGGACCACGGGGGTGGGCCCTGTGGGATAAGCCCCGCCCCACCCCGCCCCTTCCCTGGCAGTCGACAGGTGGGGCCCACCCTCTCCCCCCCAGCTAAGGTAGACCTCTCCCTTCTACGCCTGTGAGCCCCCCAAATAAATTGCACGCCGGGAGGCGCGACGCGGGAAGCGACTTGCCGCAGCCGTGCGGTCGCATGCAAACCCTTGCTGTGACTCTTTAGGGAGGCACCAGCAGCGCCAGACAGCCGAACGAAAGCCGCGCACCTTGGCCACTCGGAGCGGGAGAAGAGCTGCTCTGCACCACCCCCCGCCCTCCTCCGAGCCTACTTCCCCGAGCGCGCCCCGCTGGGTTCAGGTGTTTCCGACCCCATGGTGCGGAGTGGATCCGTGGCACCTCCGCCGCGCCACCTGGCGGCCCTAGGCCCAGAACTGGGACACATTCCCACGTCCGCTTCGTCACCCCTGGCTCATTTCTTTAGCTCAGCGGCCAAATCTGAACTGTAGTGAAGCAACGCAAGGATTCCGGGCTTTGAAATCAGCGACGTAACATTTCTAAGTTTTGCTTTCATCTGTGAGATGAGGGGATGTAGTACTCGCCTCCTTAGGGTGTTGGGAGAATTTAAGATTAAAAACAAACAAACAAACAAACAAACAAAAAAACTACTCCAGGAAGGGACTCAGCTAGCAGGGAAGGTTCCCACCCAGTGCTTGTCCACCCCTAAATCACTCCTCGGACCCCGCACAGCACTCCGCAGGAGTTTTTCTTTTTTTTTTTTTAAACAAAGAGTACAGTTTTATTTTCTCTGTGCTCTTGCAAAATATTTAGGGTTAACATAAAAAAGAAAAAGTTCCTGTGAAGAAATGTGCATT